TGCCAGGTGATGTCGTATATATCCACAGACTTTCCATATACCTGTAGAAGATAGCAAAGCCAAAGCACTGACATTGAGTCATTCAGGACACAGATATAAACACAAGACAACAGTAGAACTAAGACTAAAGCATTTCCTTCTCCTGCAGTCTGTGGCTGGATTTCAAGATTACCTTTCCCTCTTCCATGTAGCTATCAGGTGTTATGTGTTTTAAGCAGACAAGTGCAATCTGCATATTTGTTGTTATTAGAAGAATTAACCTCCCACTTGAAATGCAAAGGGTTACAAACAGAGAAAGTGCTCAAGTAAAAATGTAAGAAAATGAACAAAAGCAAGAAATGCTGTGTGCAGGAGCTGACAATTGACCTAGAATAATATAATATGAAGATTAGGTGGGGTGACAATGAAGCTGATTGAAGGCTATCATCTCAGGCACACAGACAGGATGACAGCCTTTGGCTGAGAGCTCTTGTTCCCATGAGGAGTCAGACAGCTAAAGCAACAAGCACATTTCTGCTAGAGTAAAGAGTATCCCACCTGAGCAAAGTTCAGATGCTGCTGTGTGACTGTGCATGTCATTCCCGTAAGAAATGAATGACATACCCGTTATGTAAAACATTGAAAAGGAAAGCCAATATAATCAACTAAAACTGACAATATCTTACTATATATTTGATGTTGATTGTGGGATTTTAATCATTTATTAAATTTACATTGCAATTTTGTGGATGATTTAAAAAAAAAAAAAAATTACTGTGCTCTGGCTAGCACAAAAGAACTAATAGACCTATGGGAGAATGAGCTGAAATCTACTCTGGCTCATTTGTTATCAAGAAAAATGCTTGCTGTGTTACTAAAACCAGTGCACAGACCAGAAAGGATACATCTGGATTTTCAAACCACATCCTGAGTCATCAAAATTGTCTTATGAACAAAAAAGGCTTTTCTTGTAAACTGATTGAAATCAATAACATGTTGTAATAATAAAGGAATAATAAACATAGAATTCACACCACAACTTAATGGTTTACTTTTCAGCATATAATGTACTTCAATATATGCATGCTGCTACAGTAATTTAATTCTCTCTATCATCTTCCTCCAGTATTTTAAATTAAAGCAATAGGCTTATGAACAGTAGGAAATGAAGAAAGATCGTGAAGGGTGACAAGATACCAGTGAAGTGAGAAGGTGAAAAAAGGAAGCAGTGTTCAAATCAAATATGGTATCAGATCTGTAATTGGCATAGAAATTTCTTGGGTATTAGCAGTTGATGATTTCCATGGTCTCAGAGGGAGGAAGCTTTATTTATAGCTCCAGAGCTTTTACAACAACATCTCAGTTATTCTTGCCTTTGCTCTTTCCTTTAGGGGTGGTCTTTTTCACTCTTTGTTCCAGTGCCACCATTTGCTGTCAGTAAACGTGTTCCCTTTCATGTAGTCACTCCTCTGAGACTCAGGCACGTTTGTTTGGAAATTGTCTGGCTGAAACTGAACTCGTGTGGAAGAAAGTCCTTTGAGTTGTCTGTCCAGAGCCCTAACCTTGCCCTGGGGAGAGAATTTGAAGATAATGAGCACAGTTTTGAAAAGAATGGGCATCCTTTGCTGTCAGCTTGAGTCTTTGACTTTGCTCTTAGATGTCATGGTGATGCTCACATTACAAGCTAGATACTGTACTCTTTTCACCTACCTTGGGCACTGCCCAGCTTCCTCTGTCCTTTCAACCCTTCTACTCAAATATGCGTTCGTCAATTTTATAAGGAAAATCCTCTTTGTATTTAATCCATCCGTGCCAGAACGAGGAATGTAAGCAGGACCAGTTGTCACAGAAGAGTGGTTAGCAAGCCTGCAACCAGTTTACAGCAAATTGCACATTTCAGCAGTGTCCCTGAGAGTGGGAGCGGGAGGCTGAGCAGCTTGGCATGGTGGCAGCCTCTGCTCCCCGAGGTCACAGCCTGCTCTAAATTAGACCTTAGGGGGAGAAGAAACAAGCAAGTGTCTGAATTGCCATGTACAGTCTTTCTGTATGCTTCCCCTCTCCATTTAACTGATGTTAAACTGATGTTTCCCTGATGTTTGGTAGCAACTTCTAACACCCTTCCAAGAGATGCTAATGTATAAGTATCATTTAAAGATGACTGAATCCCCCCCCCCAGATCTTCAACTCTTTCTAAATTAAAGCTTGATAGCCCTTAAAAATGCTGTGCAACTCATTTAAGTCAGGTTTTAGATAGTCTAAGAGAATATGGCCCCCTTTACGCTGTGCTTGAAATGATCTAAGCAGTTCTTTGTAGTTATTTCGAATTTTATATCCTTTTTTCAGGAAATGAATAGCACGGTATGAAAACAAATTGTGTAAAGGGACTGCTGACAGGACGTTTAAGTGAAGCATGGACATTTCAATTGAAGTACAGTGTGTTAGTCAAATGCTACCTGCTGAGCTGATTAGCAGAAGCTGGGTATAATTCTGTAGCCTGTGTTATATGGGAAATCATACTAGAAAAATGAATGGCCTTTTCTCTGAAGTATGTGAATCTATAAATGCTCTGTGCTTTGGTATTTACTTTGTCTTATGTTCTGGAATGGCCAAGAGTCGTGTATATGCTTTCATGGTGCATCCATTTTCTTAAACTCTCTGGTGAAAGGCAGGTCTGTCTGCTGTCACACAAGTGCAGAACTTAGCTTTTCTCCCTGTCTGTTCCTTGGATGCTCTGTCTGGTTTTGTTTCCATACCTGTCACATACTTGTATTTTTCATTTTCACAAAACTGTGCAAACCCTGTATAATAGTTACATTTCTTTTCTGGGCATCTTTATTAGCCTTTTCCCAGCATGCCACGACCCCAAACCTCTGTTTTCATGAATGTCTTATCAACAGATCTACTCCATGCTAGACTGAGTTTGTTTTCTGATTTTGAAGGCAACAATCCCAAAGTTCATTTTGCTATTGCTACTGAAGAGAGTAGGATTTCAGGATCACTTCTGTCAGACTGTAAGATGCAGAAGTATTTTTGGTTATGTTTTTCTTCAACTTGTAGTAGTCACGCAATATCACAGAAAGATGCAGTCAGTGAGCACTTCATTGTCTCAGATATGTCCTGTACTTCGTGGTAAGTACACGTGTGTGAATAGTAGAGCAGAACTTGTCTGACGTGCTGACAGTTTTACAAGGCAAAGACGACACATTCAGAATGTTATTGCATCATTTTAATTAACAGTCAGTGTGAACTCTGTTTCCTTCATTCTTAACATTAAACTGTAGAAAACATCAAAGCTGAAACAAACAAGGTAAAACAATATATGGTGAGATATATATACCAGGAAACTATACAATAACTGCTCAGCTTTTTGAAGGCTGGGTCAGCTGGGCTAATATTTAAGCTCCAGCCCCATTACTCACAAGAAAAACACTATATGTGAATTACTCATCCTTTGCAAAGCCCCCTTAACTTCATTGTGGTTTCAGGTTAATGTAGCAGATTTTTCTTATGGCCTCCATTAGGGTAGGGGGCATTTTTACTTGTACTTGACTGGTGGGGAACTGGTGGTGGTGGGTCTTTTCAGTGTTAACTGTTTTCAGAGAATTGATCCACCTTTTTTAATCACAGTCAGCCGCAGCCAAACAAAAGCAGTTTGTTTCTACAGTGGCATCAATAAAATGGAAAATATATTATGACTTAGCTGGGGACACATGCTTTCTACCTTTTGCTGCTTTGTCTCTGTTTACAGCTAGGTTTTCCTACCATTCATATTCTGTTAGCCTTGTGCTTGCTTTGTGTGATCTGTAATCCACACAGAAAATATGTGCCCTCTGCAATACAATAATAATTATTTTTTTAAATGTTTGCTGCTAATATAACATGCTATATTGATTCAGCCTGGGTTTTCTAGTGTTTTCCTGGTAGAGATGAGAAAGATGGTATAATTCTTCACCAAATGGAAAAGAGCTTAATTTTCATGCAAACCAATATTCAACAGAATCATAAAGTCCTAGCCCTGGTAATAAAAATAGAAGCCGATGTTATTAATGCATCATTCCAGATACACAGAGCACCATTATGTGACTCCTGGGTTGAGTAAAACTTCATGTAATCACAGTGGCCATAGACTTAAGCCCTATAAAGCTGGAAACTTCAACAGATGGCTATTGTCAATGCAGCTTCTAAAAGCTTTAGAGCCGCGTTGTGTTAGGGCTCCAGATATGGCTTACTCAGTGGTAGCTTTTTAAATTACAATTACTGAACATAACTGATCTGCATTATGGAAGTAATAATAATAATAATACTTCGCACTCAGTAACCTGTGTAAGGATCTGAAAGCTCTTAACCAAGGTTTTTGAAGACTCCCTTTCTGCTTATTGAAAATAAAGAGCATGCAGGGGCTTGTTGGAGCGTGAGAGGATCAAGAGTTAAGGGCAGCAGCCACAGCAGGCAGGCTCTGGGGCTGTGGCCAGCAGCCATGCCGCGCTCTCTGCAGGCCTAGGGCTCAAACGAGAGGGTGCTCCAGTCTCTGGCACAGGCCTGGGCTGCAATCTCCCACTTCCGAAGTTTACCAGTAATGGAAGGAATCATAGAGTGTTTTGACTTCGAAGGGAACTTAAAGACCATCCGGTTCCAACCCCCCTCCCATGGGCAGGGACACCTCCCACCAGACCAGGTTGCCCAAAGCCCCATCCAGCCTGGCTTAAAACACCTCCAGGGATGGGGATGGTGCATACACAGCTTCTCTGGGCAACCTGTGCCAGTACCTCACCGCCCTCTGAGTGAAAAATTTCTTCCTAACCTCTGATCTAAATATTTTTTAAGTTAAAGCCGTTATTCCTTGGGTAAAATGTCTGTATTTGAGATTTACTTTTGTCTAGTCAGTAGTTGTCTTTTTTTCTTTTTTTTTTTTTTTTTTCTTTTCACAAAGTGATTCTATTTTTCATTTTCAGGGTCTAGAGATCACTTGTGAAAGTATCCTGGTGGCTGTTCCCTCTGACTGTTTTTGTTTTATCTTTCAGATCAATATCATTGTGACTTTGGGTGGACTTGGAGGACGCTTTGACCAAATAATGGCATCAGTGGAAACACTTTTTCATGCAACAAATATCACTCCTTTTCCAGTGATAGTTATCCAGGAGTGCTCGCTGATTTACCTACTTCAACCTGTAAGTGCTGTGAAAAGTTACTTCATAATACACCTGACCTTCCATCTCCCCTCACCCTGTAGGTCTGGCACTATTAACTTCTCATTTTCTTAATTGTAATCTATAGGGACACAACCTAAATTGAAAATATATTGCAGAATAGTGGACAGCAAATTGTATGCTCTGCACTCCTGCCTTGAAAAAGATCATTTTTAGTTTGGTCAGGATAGGTTTGTTTAAAATAGGATGAAAGCTGAATCTGAGTATGTCTGGGATTCTGATTATAAACGAAAAACATCTTTAAACTTTTTAATTAGGTTCCATTAAGTTTAAATTGCCCTTTGCATGTTGAGTAGCAATACAGACATCTGCAGTATGAGAAACAAAAGCTACAAGATGAAGATACAAGGGAGTTCCTGACAAACGTGTCAGGCAGAATTCTTGTGTGGTCTGAGTGGTGCAGTTCATTATGATGGGGATCCAGTGAAGATCAGCAAGAGAATTTATTTAAGATGTATTATTTTTTGTGTGGTTTCAGTTCTTGTTCCATTTATTGATTCATAAAACAACACAGTCAAAAGATCTTGCAGGGCTTCTGCTTCTAAGTTTTAAATTAAAGGGAAATCTAAGCATCAAAGAGTCTTCTCTAACAGCAGTTCATTTGCTTGGAAATAAGTTTTTCCTGATGTCAGGGTTTCTAGACACTTAACTAGCTTTTCCATTTTACCTTAGACAGCGTATTTCATTAAAATAAATAACATTCACAGATAAATTTGACAAAACCCTGCACCACACATGCTTTATTGTAATTTGAGAAAAGAGTTAATAAGGTTCTATGAGATGATAGATTTAAATCCACAGGGGCAAATGCTGTATTAACAACTTTTAAGCACTGTGTCTGCAGGAAAAGACTGTAGGCGCAGGAGCTCATTTGCCAGTATGGCCAGGAATGACTGTGATCATTAGTTGCAATGCTACATGGCTAGAGGCAGCAGAGTGAGGGGGAAGTAAGGCTGAAGAATAACTGGTTAAAATCTGGAAGTGAGGAGTAACTCACATATGGTTGGTCTATGGGTGCAGCACTTCACTGGCCACAGTTGATTAATATTAGGATACTTCTAAGAACATGTAGAAGAGTTGAAATAAGATGGAGAATTCCAAATTTAGCTTACAAAATGCTTACTCGGACTGGAAAGACTACTAATTCTTTTAATTCATCTTTTCCATAAGTGACTTCGAAATGTCACAGAATCACAGAATTGTAGGGGTTGGAAGGGACCTCAAGAGATCATCGGGTCCAACCCCCCTGCCAAAGCAGGTTCCCTAGAGAAAGTTTTCCTAGTCATGCATAAGGTTGCTTTCAGAAGAGTCTTCAATGAATAATCAACCCCTTTGCAATTTGAAAAAAATCCACTAATCTCTGTATTTAAATAGAAATTAGAGGTTTCTAACTGTTTGGGTTTGCTGGCAACTTTTTATGTTCTGTTTTTATCGTGCTGTATGAGAAGCATTTAACTTTTTTGTTGGTGGGGATAGTTCCACAGCGTATTATTTTCTACCATCCCTGGCTGTCAATCTGCATTGCTGGTAACTGACTTCAGGCTGTTTCTAGCATTCAGGAATAAAGGGCAGATATAGAGGGCAGGCCTTTTAAGCAATCTTAATGCTGACTTTAACACAAAATTGCTTTTCACTGTTGGTTTAAACTTGTCGCTGTCAGTATCTTCAGTCAACTGTCATGGTACCTCCAGATAACAGTATTAATCCTGTATAGTTTAGATAAAAATTAAGTGAGTAGTTTACACATAGGGACAAACAGGAATCCTTAGCTTGGAAGTACTCTTTTTTTTCCTATGAAGTTCAACATGGTATTTTTCTCTTGTAAACATCCACAGTCGTGGCATTCTCTCTCTTTCCTTTCCCTTGTTTGTAATTTTAAAATCAAGGTAGGAGGGAGTTGTACACAGTGGGAGACCAACTGACTTTTGGAATGCAAGTATGGAAACTGTGCAACAAATGAAGCAAAGTTTTGAGATCCGAATGCTAATGCAAATGATAAAGTTAAGAGCATCTTGCTTTTCCTATAAAATGTAGAGCTGAAATCCTTCTCTCTTGGGTAAGAAGAATCTGATCTTTATTGGATTCTTTGGATAAGATATATGAGCAAAATATAACCATATTTTTGCTTCGGAATAACATTAGCCCTCAGCTCACTATAGCGGGAGATTAGTATTGGTTCTATATCATATGCACCTAGGCAAAGGCTAAAATACTTAGATAGAGCAGTGAAACTGGTAATCCCAAAACAGCCCTAGGAGGGATACAAAGAGGAATAGCAAATCAAGCTGCTGAATATTTAGCTACTAATACGGAAACTAAGGGGATGACTCAGTGAGTTACTCCATAGGAAAAAAAGAGTACTTCCAAGCTAAGGATTCCTGTTTGTCCCTATGTGTAAACTACTCACTTGATTTTTATCTAAACTATACAGATTAATACTGTTATCTGGAGGTACCATGACAGTTGACTGAAGATACTGACAGCGACAAGTTTAAACCAACAGTGAAAAGCAATTTTGTGTTAATGTCAGCATTAAGATTAATGACCTTAAAAGGTTTGCCCTCTATATCTAAGCCCTATCTCCAGAACTACTCTATATCATTACTGGAATGTTGATATAGAAGGGCACAGAAAAAAAAATACATCTATATTTAATACACCTGTAAAGGTATACAGTGTTGTAGGAAACATGGTTGGAGTCTTGGTGGAAGTCTTCAGGATGAAAGAGAAAGACAGCAAGGACAATGCCGGACTTTGAATCCACTGCAGACTACCAAGCAAGGAGGACCAGGTCAATAAAGCCCTTTTTTTGTTAATCAATAATATTATCCATGTACTAAATGTAAGGGTAATCATATTTCTATGCAGGAGTCTCTTGGGTTATAGGTAGACAGTGCAAGTTTTTTAAGCATATTGGGAAGCGTGGCATGGAAAGCAAAGAAAGCTGCAAGGAAGAACACTCTGGAGTCAGAAATAGGGAGACTATGCAAGAATTCCAGGAGGTGATGCTTCCTCTAAAACACTGTCTAATGTGATGATTGAAATTTTAAAAAGGGGGGGGGGGGGTAGGGGGGGGAAGTGGGGAGGTGAGGGCCGGGGGGGAGTTTCTCTGCACTGAATAGTCACCTCATTTCTTTCTATAGTGGAGGGGAAGGATCGTATAGGGGAAGGAAACATGAATTCTTAATAAGGAGTAATCACTTCTATGAGCAGGATATTTTATGTAACAGTCCATACATTTTATGCTTGAAATTTTAGTAATATCAATCACCATTAGAATATACCCTGGCTGAAGAGCATTAGGCCCTTAGAGTCATGTTTATCATGCTAGCCATGCTCAGTACGAATGGCTTAAGGTTTCACATACATACTTTCTCATTTTCTGGTAGTGTGCTTCTCAGGAGTACAGAAACATTAGCTTCTGTACACTGAGCATAAATTATCTTTTTTCTGTGAGTTTTATGGCAGTTTGTAATACAAGGTAATAGGATTTATGACCAAGAAATGAGAAGATGTCCAAGAGTTAATGAGGCCTGTCTTTTACATTATACTGAGCAGCTCAGTGTTCCCCATGCAGAATTCTTGAAGTGGCATGTAAGGGAGAAGATCTGCTAGCTACACATGAAAATGCGTTACAGACACATACTTTTGTCAATTAGCTGGCTCTTCTGAATGAGTGTATGAATGCTTTGATAACCCTTTTTTCTCAGACGCAGCTTTTCTTGTGAGTGCATGTCTTCCTTCCCTGGGAGAGCGATGAGTAATTTAACATCATAGGTAGTAGTCCAGCAAATATGAGCAATAAGAATCAGAAGTCTCATTCCTCATTCTTGGCTGTCTTTTACTTCTTGGCTTCCTTGCTGCCTTGGCTATTCTTTACCGTCATTTCATTGGCGAGAAAGCAATTGTATGGTCTTTTGATCTCACAGTCACATAGTTTGTAAATTGGATAAGACCCATGTCTTTCTCTGAATGAGCACTGTGAGGCTCATGTAGTTTTTGACAAAACACCCTTATATTCTCAGCTCTGCACTGAAGTGGAACACAGTATTACTGTAATAGTAACAACAGTATTAGTAAGACCTTTAATTAACATAGGCATTGGCATACAGTAGGCTGTGCAGCTAATTAGTTAGCATGGTCCCAAGCACAGTGTTAGTGGGAGCCAGCTATCATTCTCACAGACAGTGCCTGGGCAGAGTCTGGGACTACCATAGATTTGTAAGTGCCTACTAAGCATTTTGGACAGTACCACCTCGTTTGGGGGCAAGAGAGAACAACCATAATATGCATGTGAGCCATGCTGTGCCCATTGGCTTGAGGTCCAGAGAATAGCACCTGGACCACCTTACAGATGCAGAGTGACCAGGTGTAGAGTTCTGCTCCTAGCTGCAGGCACTGTGATAGATACAAGCTGAGGGAGGTACAAGACTGACAACTTACTCTGCTGTAGTGTACTGCTGCAGTTTTCTACATCAGTGTTCTTTGCTTTTCTTTGTATCCATGCTTGGAGAGTCAAATGTAATGGGAAATTCAGGGTGTATACATTCAGCTTCTGAGTTTCCTTTGGCAGTTCCTTGAATATCATAACTAGTTCCTTGAGTATTGTGGAAACTTCAAAAATGAGTCTGAATTACTTCAGTTTATTTCATGGTATTGTATGGCTATCAAGTGCTGTTGCTTCAAGTTTACCACATGATTTCTGTGTTTTGCCGGACATCAGTGATCCAAACGTAATTAATTTTTTGTCAGTCACTTCCTAAACTTGCAAAGATTTTACTTCCTATTTTGTTTCTCACTGCTACCAAAGGAAAATTTTAGGAGGATCTTCTCTTAGCAGCTAAATTCTTTATAGCTCAGCATCAGTAAAAGTGTAGTATGAAATGTAGAAAAATATATATATTTACTTAGAAATCATAACTAGCTTCTGCAACAATCATATCCTTTCAAGTTTATTTAGT